CTTTGACAGTTAGATCCAGCCCATTCCTTAGATTTCCAGCCTCATGGCTGAGATACCAGCCAGAGCTGTGTTCACTGCCACAACTCTATGGTGTTTCAAGGTCCCTGCCAGCAAGCAAGCTGCATCATTCTGCTCACAGACCACACTCAGTTGGACTGCCTGCCTGAAAGAGTCAGAGTTTGTCCTGGCAGAACAGCCCAGAAAGCTGGCATTTTAAAACAGTGCAGCCTTTTTCCTGCTACGGCTGAAAACTGAAAAGCGTGCATTCAGCTTTTTATAAACACCATTTAAGTGTTTCATGGCAGGACCTTTTAAAAGAGCTGCAAGGTTTTGCAGCTAAAGCTGAGTCAGGAAGCCTCTCTTAGATGAAAGTGTTTGCTTGCCTCTAGCAAGTAGAGCAGACCCGAGAAATTGCTGCTACCAAGAAAATATACTTTACTCTATTCTTTCCTAAGCTTTCTCAGGCTTTCTGTGGATTCAGTTATCCACGTGGGCGCCATCTGTAGCATGAGGGGCCATCTTGTTGGGGTTTCTGTACTGCCCGGTACCCCACAGCCGACAAACCCCAAAGAAAATCACACATAAGACTCCATAAGATTATAAACTGATTGGCCCATTAGGTCAGGCTTCTTATTAGTTCTTGTAACTTATATTAATCCATTATCATTATCTATGTTAGCCATAACGGCTCAGTACCTTTTCCAGCTGGGCAGCTTACATGTTCCCTCTCCGGTGGTCTGGGCAGAACTGCGGAGGGAGCTTCCTGCTTCCCAGAATACTCCCAATCTCTTTGCTCCACCTCTACTTCCTGTCTGGCTTTCCTGCCTATACTGCCTGCCTGCCCAATCAACGTTTTATTCAAATATGATTGACAGAATACAGATAATTCTCCCACACCACTGGTGCTATATTATAAATTATACTTTTTTAGGGGTACATACAGGAACGGAATGTGTGGTGCATTCTGAGTAATGACAGGCAGCAAGAGAAGGGAGTCTCCAGGAGAAAATAGGGTGTCGGATGGCTATCCTATTGAGGGTGTCATAGCATGAGGTTTTGAAAGAGCAGGGAGAGGCAAATCTCCAAAGATTTCCCATCTCAAACACTGCAGAACACCATGTGTCTCTTGAAATCAAGGGAAAGATAAAGCCCATTGTATGCTTAGAGATACTCCTTGCATAGGAGCCTGTGAAGTTGTAACTAGCTGACTTTAGGATAGGGCAGAGACTGCTTGCATGTGTGAGGTGGCAGCTGTGTATCCCGTGGAAAGATGTTCCAAGGCCCTTTCGTAGACTTGCCACACCTTCCAGGATTCCTAGTTGATTATATTGTTTTTGCCTTATTCTTGGGGGAGGGTGGCAAAGGAAAGAAGACAATGGCCTCTGTTAGAAAGCATGAAAAAATTGGAATGAACCAAAGTAGATGGAAAACTGGGGGCTGTGATCCAGATTCCAGCCAGAAGAAGAGTGGAGGTAGAAACAAAGTTGAAGTTTTTATGAGTGCATTCATGTTACATTAGAAACGGCTCAGTTTAGTCTTGACTTCTGTACAGGGTGATACCCTTGGCTGTGAATGAGGAAACTAGTACTAGTTGCACCCGTTAGAAGGGGTGCAACATGATCGATGCCCCGGAGTGAGCAAACCAGGATGTAGGTGTGGCCGACTTCAGCTTATGCCCTTAGTCCTCCAGGGCAGACAGTTTCTTCCTGCTGACTGCAGTCCTTTCATTTTGTTCAAAATGTACTGACCTGAGCACTCTGCACGCTTCGCTGGCCCCATTACTGAGGCCACTTCTACCTCTTATCATCTCTCAGCCCAGCTCTTAGGTGCGTTCTAGCTGGAGATCAGGACCTACTTAGCACCCACTTGGCTTGCTAAACTAGCCTCCTTTGGGAAGCCCTTGTCTCCAGGTTTGCCCCTTCTTGCAGGCTGAGGGTTGCTCTTGGTATCAGACACTGTGCTACTGTTCTCCTTGAAGCCTTTCACTGGAGCCCAGTGCATTACAAATGAAGAACACGCTTCTCACAATGGCATAAATGCCCCTTCATCACCACACCTCTGAGCTTTTCAACAATGCGAGCTTTCTCCCTAAAGAGGAGTCTTTAGTTCCATTCACACTGAATTATCTATATTTGATCATTTATAATCTTCTCCTCTCTGCCATGATGCCCCTCGTTCCCTCCCAAACACCAGGCTGACCCCTATCCATGTTCAGTTTTGTTAGGTCCTTTAGTTGTTATTTTTTTTTAAATTTATTTATTTTTATTTTATGTGTATATGTGTGTCCCTGAGTGTATGAACACCAAATGTGGTGTGGGAGGTCCTTCTGTCTATGTGTTGCTCTTATTGTTTAATGAATAAAGAAAACTGGCTTGGCCTACAGCATGGGAGGAGGAAGGCAGAGTCAGAGAGATACCATGGAGCCGCCAGAGATCGATGCTGGGAACATTACCTGGTAAGCCACTGCCATGTGGCAATACACAGATTAATAGAAATGGGTTAAATTAATATAAAAGTTAGCCAATAGGAAGCTAGAGCTACTGGGCCAAACAATGATTTAATTAATACAGTTTCTGTGTGATTATTTCGGGTCTAAGCTAGTTAGGCAGCCTGGAATGACCAAGCAACCCCTCCCCCAACACATGTGAGTACATATAGCTACAGAGGCCAGAAGAGTGAATGCCCTGGAGCTGAGTTCCAAGTGGTTATGAGCTGTCTGATGTGGGTGCTGGGAACTGAACCTGGGTCCTCTGGAAGAGCTGCAACTCAGGGGACCATCTGTCAAGGCTTTCCTTACATTTTCTAACAAAATGATTGGAGATTCTAAGAATGTGGTAAATTTAAACTATCTTATTTACATTTCATAATCTCTGATACCCTCATATCACAACAGTAACTATTGGGTATGAGTAACATTGAATTCATGCATTAATCACTTACCAGTATCATGCTTTTGCCATTAAGTCAGGTCTTAGGAGAAAAAGATGAGCAGAAGGCACCCTCTGCCAAGATGGAAGTCACGTATGGGAGAAGTGTTGACAAACGGAACTGAGAGCATGCATCACGGAACGAGCCATGTAAGAACAGCAAAGCCATCCAGGTGGACACCTCCAGCTTTCCTAGGGGCCAGAGGAAGTGTACAGATTAAAGAAATATTAAAAAGCCAAGGGGACTTGTCAGGCAGAGAAGGGATGAAGACAAATTCCAGGAGAGGGAATTACCATTTCATTATATCAACTGGCCTTGGCATTTTACTTACTACTGCAGCAGGCAGTACTGCTGTTTTGAGTTTCCCACTTCTAGTGAAGACTTAAGTCAATGAGCACTGTGTGGGTTAATGCATGTTAAACAGATTACTCATTCCATAGTGAGGGTGGGGGTGTTTTCAGGTCGACTGGCATTCACCGCCCGATCACTTCTCCTCCCTTTCTGTGCGAGCACAGGCTTTGAAAGTCTTTTGAAAGCAGTGGTCTACGAACCCTTTAAGAAGCAATCAGAGCTCTTCAAAGCCTTGCTGACTCCAGCACTATTACCACCCGGAACTCCTGTGTGACTTAAATTCACATGGCATTCAGTGTTGATGGGTTTATTTGGGGTGTTTGGACATATTTACATTTGTGCTTAGGAAAGCATCTTTCTGAACTGTGACAGCAAACTGTGAATTCCACCAGGAAACAGGGTTTCTGAATATTGGCAAGGTTCTCATGTTCGCTGGAATCTTTATTTAAGTATCTGCGGGGCCTGTCTTGCAGGACACATATGTTCTTATTAATTGATTGCACATTAATAAAAATAACAAGTTAACAGTTTTAACGCTTTTTCAATAGAAGAGCTAGCATGATAAAAACGGGATCCCCTAAACTTCTGTTTCTTTGGATTCTACTTAACTGAACACGAAGAAACAACAGAGTTTCATTTTAAAATGAGACACTTTTTCTGCCATTCTAGCATCTGGGAGACAGAGGCAGAAGGACCAGTTCAAGGCCAGCCTGGACTATGTATCAACACTGTCTCAAATGCAAATAGAGATGTGGGTGCATGCACCCATGCTCTCTCTCTCTCTCTCTCTCTCTCTCTCTCTCTCTCTCTCTCACACACACACACACACACATGCACACACACTCACTCACTCTCACAAAAGCTCACATATACATAAGAATGTGACCACAATGCATACCTGCACACACATGTATGAACACACACAGGCACACACATGTGCACATGCACACACATTCACACATACATGGATTCACACATGTGTTCACAACAGGCACACATGCGTGCACAGAGAGATTCATAGTGCTTCAGGCATACATTATACATTATCACAAGGTTCTGTCACTCTCTTTACTTTACAGTCTTCTTCAGCAGAAATATTCAGACCAACATGTTTGGGTTTTTTTCCTTTAATAATTTCTGATCATAGAGACACTATAACCACATATATATGAATCTAGACATTCTGGTCCAGTTTGTGTCACTTTCGTCTTCAGCAACAAGCATAATAAATATTTCTTCTGCTTACAGTAGCAAAACAGGCATTCAGTTGATCCGAGGAGACTAGGAACTCAGTGCATTCAGAGTCTACCTGATTTCAAACTATTGGAAACACAAGTCACTGGGGTGGTGGGATGAAGAATACAAGATATAGGATAGAACAGATACATGATAGGGCAGGGTTCAACAAATTCAGTTAAATTACTGATGGTCAATGAGTAATTAAAATGCTCATGTTGCAAGACCTTTGAACTATTTAAGTCATTAGTAAATACTTCTTGAAGAAAGAAAATGCACTGCATTTTCTGCACCAGTACCTTCTTGCTCTGGTAAGGACATCTAGGTAATGTCAAGAGAGTATGGATCTGTGAACTGGAAGTAGGAGAGCTGTGCAGAGGCAGTGGGAGCTGAGAAGGTACAATCATTACTTTTCAAGATCTGTGCATTTATATGTATTTTGTTCTATCACATTACTTCTAGTAATACAATTTCTTTTCATTAAGGACAATGAGTTTGGTGTCCTGCTGCGAAGAATTCTAGTTTGGTCTTAGTGCTAAAGTTTGCTGACCTGGGGTCCTCAGAAGTGGAAGCAGACAGAATATCTGCCTTTCCGTGACCATCGCTGGAGACTCCCAACCTCACTTCAAAAGCATGACTTTGGCTCCACTCCAGATGCAGGATCAAATCATGATGACAGTTAGTGGAGGAAAAAGAAAGACGTTTCCCTTTGTGTACATAATCAACGCTGCTGGCGATCCTGTTATGGAGCTACCATAATCACCTTCCTGAGTTCTAAATATGACCTCTTCTCATGCCCCTTTTGAAGGTTCCATTCTGTCTGAGATATCATTTCACTCACAATGCATTTGAAAACTCCAGATCCAGCACCAACTTTCTCATCTTCCTCCTGCTAACCCTCTGAGCCAGTGGTTCATTCATCTGTTCCCACAGTGGATTTCCTGTTAGTGCAAGTGTCCCTATCTGTGTGTGAGGCCACTACACTTGTGATCTGAATCCTATGAATCTCCCCCCTCTGAAGAATTCTTTTTCTATGAAATTGCCTCTCTCTACTCTTTATGTCAAATAGGATCTTGAATTTCAACTAGCTTATGAATATGATTTAAGATTTCCCTTTCCTGTGATAGTCATAACCAGGTCCACCCAGGTGTACCTGATACATGTTCCCCTCACATGGCAACACTGTTTCTCTGATAGTTTTGTATTTTCCTGGTGATCCGTGACTGCTGTTCCCCCTTCCATGTTCTCTTGTTGAGGGTATACGGTTCTGAGTCACACACAGGCTGTGTTTTACTTGAGAACTCAGCAGCAGTCAAGACAGCCAACACACCCTGCCCTGTTTGGTAAAACTCAGTAAATAGCTATTGATTACCAATTAGGAGCTTATGGATCTTCTGGGTGCTTAATTCAGTTAATACGCGGCTTTGCTGAACTAGGCTGGGCTAGTTCTAGAATGACCTAGGATAAACTAAGGCTTTGGCTTTGCATATTCAACCAACAGTCGTCTACTACTTATTTCTCATTAGAGAGCTGTAGCGGTGGCTAACCAATGACAGGTTTTAGCTCTTACCTTTATTGGAGGTGCACTCTCACTATGTAGTCCAAGCCTACTCCCCAGTCCTCCCCGGTTCTGACATTCCATACAGGAATCACCATCTGCCTAATTCTTGGCTTTGTGTGTATTTGTTAATACGGAGGAAAATATTGTGATCTTTCTATTTATCTCCAGCTTGGCAAATAGCTGAGTTTTGTTTTCAGGTGGACTAAAGATGGGTAAGAGCTCAGGAGGGCCCACTTCCATTTTGTAGTGTGTGCGCAAAAGATCACGACAAGAATAGGGAAGAATTAAAATATGCTTAGGGGTATTCATTTCTCTCTGAAGAACTGTGTGAACAGAAAAATCTTTTTAAGATAAGTACGTGCTCAAAAGGGAGGCTTTTTGCTGTGACTGGAAAGACTTTCAGCAAAGTGGGTTATCTCTGAGATATATGAAATCTTTCATATGTAAATAAAGTAAAACTTGGCAGCTGTACCATCTGTGAGAATGTGAGAGTTCTGGGAAATGAGTCATTCAGTAACAGAGACATGAAACTGTTTTTGAATATAAAAATATGTGAGCTACTTAAGAGTCCAGGATGCTGGGGTTAGCACTTCTGGCAGTAGAGTATCTCAGATTGACAAGGGGCGTCGAGAAATTAGCAAACACTACAAGTAGTGAAAGGGGAAAGGTGTATGTAGTTAATACCACTTAAAAAAAACCGGTACAGCTTCATAATTGGAATCAAATACTAAAGTTCTTAGGAGAGATTGCTAGTTCTGTATAATTCTCTCGGCTGGAAAAAGCCTGAGGTATGGGGACAGTGGGCGGTTTGCCTATGGGACATGTGGAGCAACAGGCACACGCAGGACAGATGCAGCTTCCCAACACCCAGTTCTCATCTCTCCCTTCTCCCTGGGACACTGTCTCCCTCGTGAGAAAATCGTGTGCACATGTGGATCTGCTCCTAACGTGCTTAGGTCCCCCAAACAAGCTTGTGTAGGCTCAGAAATTTGTTAGCTTGTGTTTAGAATAGCATCCACATGTAGAGAATTGACTTTTTGGTTTTCATGAGATGAGACAGTAAACTAAATCTTACCATGTATGGCAAACCACAATCTGTGCTCAGTAGTGTTCACATCATGGCTTTTCAAAGGGGCAGCTCTCATCACTTAATATATCTACCCCACTCTCTCTCTCTTCCCACCACACCTCTGTAATTGGGGCCTCCAAATCTGAAGTGAAGAGGACATTCCCCAACTGGGAGAAAAGGGTGACAACTTCTTTGGAATGTTTTGGACTTTTCTGTTTATTAAGGAATAAGGTATTTTTTTTGGTATAATGGAAAAATCTATCACATAAAGCCCAGAAACTAACTGGATTGGTTTTTCTTATTCATGAAGTTGGAAAAGTAAAGAATGACATGGAATTTCAATTTCCTCCTGTTCATCAAACTTGAATATAAAGTTGAATGTTTCTGAGATCTAAAATGTGTGAAATGATAATAATGTTTACTAACCTCTGATTGCACTGGAGTGAAAATTTGTCTACATATAGTGTTTGAAGATCCAATGCTAGTAAAAGTAATGCTGAATATCTTATTTCCAGGACTCAGAAGGCAAAGCAGGTCTACGGAGCTATATAGAGAGAACTTGTCTAAAATCAAAAGCAAAACGCAGCACTTCTAACATCTGCTGTCCTCAGTGGTATTCAGAAGCCTTCCTGGAAGGGAGCTTGGCAGCAGGGGAAAGGACTGGACACAGGTGTCACACTTCTAGGGTGATGTCCTGTGTCATTGTTTCCCAGGCAACTCATAAAATCCCGAGGCTCTCATGGCTATTATGAGAAGGGAATTACACTTCCTCTACACCTAGAACTAAGGTAATTTAATACATTGAACTGACAAAGTACCCAGCTCTCAGAAATTCAGCTCAGGAATACAGAGATCATGACAAGGGCATACTAATTCATTATGTTCGAGCCTCACTTCTTTACAAACTAAAAAATCTGTCCAGGTGTCTTATACTATCATATTATCAATTTTTCAAAATTATTTTTTTCAAAAATATGCTTAAAAGAGAATAACATTATGTTGCCTGTAGTTAGGTAAATATAACAACGATGGAATCCATTTCTTCTAGGGCGACCTGTCAAATTATTTCTTTCTGTCTCTCTTCCCACAAAGATCTTAAAAATGGTTTTTTGAACTAACAATGAGATCTTACGGTTTTTCTCATTGACTGATTAACTAAAGTCTTGGCGTATTCATTTTAGATGTCTATAAGGATCATAATTATGCTCTCCTTTTAAAGATCATTACTAGATCATCTCCCTAGCCCACGAAAAGAAGTGTGAAAATACACCTTAAGAAGGCTTTGGTGATTGTTTTCTGCTCATGTGTCAAAAATCAAGTTCCTCCCTTTCTTAACTTGCTTCATATTAAATGCCAGGCACACCTACTGCCAGGGGAGATGACACGGTGATATTTCGTCTTTAATTCAGTGCATTCATGAGACATGTGACATGAAAGTTTGTTGGTGTTCAGTAAGCGTCAGGTGCACAATTCCGATCTCTTCATAGTGAGAGAGCTCGTCCTCCACGCCACCTGCTTGGAAGCATGAAGAGCGTTCAGTTGGTGGCTCTATAGTTCACAGGAACTTTTGCTTGCAGGCTGCACACCACGCTCAGCAACTGATTCATCACAGTCTCCATACATGCGTTGTAGCTCCTGTTCAACTCTTTTATCTTCTCTAGTGTTTGCTCTGCTATTTCATCCGAGAGGTGGCTCTGAGAGCCCATTATCTATGAGAGCAGAAGATGAGAAGTATTTTACCCTATGTTGGATGGAAATAGTTGAATTGTTTTATAAATGTCATCATATTTTTTAATGGTTGTTCTGTGGTGTGAGTGTGTGTGTTTGTGTGTATGTGTGTGTGTATGTGTGCGTGAGAGAGAGACAAAGAGAGAGAGAGAGAGAGGAAGAGAGAGAGACAGAGAGAGACAGAGACAGAGAGAGAAAGAGAGAGAGAGAGAGAGAGAGAGAGAGAGAGAGAGAGAGAATTCTTTCTTCTGGGAACAGACAAGATTATGAATACCCTGGTTATGGAGGATGAATGTCCCTAAAAATATAGTGGGCTCTGTCCACAGACTATATTCAGGTTTCTAATCTTTATGCCTTGCAATACTTTTTACATCAAGTTGAAAGCATTTGCAATAATTTCCATTCTATTCTAAAATTTCCTGTTATTTAATTTTCTGAATTCTAAATCTTGAAAGTAGAGTAGAAAGGCAGAATTAAACCCATGTTTCCCTGATTTTACAGAGCAAAAAGTTATAATTTTTAAGGAAGATGTAGACAAAACATGTTGCCTAAGGCAATTCACATGTAGTTAGATAGCTATGAAATATGTAGAATATCAGGTATAAAATTGAAAATTTTAGCATGAACTGGTGTGGGAGAATTGTCTGTATTCTGTCAATCATGTTTTAAATAAACGCTGATTGGCCAGGCAGGAGGTGTAGGTGGGAAAACCAGACAGGAAGTGGAAATGATGCAAAGAGAGCAGGAGAATTCTGGGGAGGAGGAAGTTGATTCCTCCCACTCCTGCCCAGGTCACTGAAGCAGCAGGATGTGAGCTGCCCCCACTGAAAAAGGTACTGAGCCACATGGCTAACATAGATCAGAAAAATGGGTTAATCAAGATGTGAGAGTTAGCCAGTAAGAAGCCTGACCTAACGGGCCAATTAGCATTATAACTTATAGAGTCCTTTGTGTGATTTTTCTCTGAGACTAAATAGCTGGGGGGCCGGGCAGGACAGAAACCCCAACAAGCAGGCCCCCTCATGTTACATAATGGCGCCCACGTGGATAACTGCATCCACAAAAAGCCTGAGAAAGCTTGGAAAAGACTAGAATAAAACATTTCAGTTTTCAGCTGAAGCAGAAAAAAAGTTGCGCTGTTTTAAAATGCCAACTTTTGGGAAAACTCTGACTTTTTCAAGCAGGTGGTCCTGACTATGGAAACATTGTTATAGTTTGCTTCCTGGCAAGGACCTTAAAATGCCATAGGAGCTTTTAAATGTTGTCTTCTCCATATTCCTTAGCAAATTAAAGACCCCATATGGTCAAAAAAGAGAGATATACAATAAAGAGAGATTCAAAGAGTAAAAAACCCTCTAAATGGTTTACAATATGTTAAAAATATATACAGGCTTAAAAAAATGTTTAAAGTCTTAAAATAAAAAAGGAGAGTAGTTGGGTGTGGTGGTACACACCTTTAATCCCAAGGCTTGGGAGGCAGAAGCAGACAGACCTCTGTAAATTCAAGGTGTGGTGGTAGACACCTTTAATCCCAATCCCAGCATTGGGGAGGCAGAGACAGATGGATCTCTGGGAGTTCAAGGATAGCCTGGTCTACAGAGGGAGTTCCAGGACAAAGATATGCAGAGAACCTGTCTCAAAAAGCCAAAAGTTAAAAGTACAAATAAAAGAAATAGAGGTTAAAATAAAGCCACATAAAGATGGAAAATACACAGGGAATCTTGATACTGTTTGCTATTATGCTCTCTTTAAATTGTTTGAATGCTGAGGAAGGAGCAACAGCTGCTAAAAGATATTTGCGTATAAATGCTGCAGAATTAATCCAAGATAGGTATTTTGAAAATACCTTGGCTTCAAAATTGAAGTCAAAAGGTATGTTACTTTGGAGAAGAGATTTTGCTTTTGTTTCCACAGAAAATGAGAGACTGTGGATTCATTCTGAGTTAAGAAAAATCACCTTTGATCAAGGAAGGCCATCTGAAAAATCTCCGGTAGGAACAGATGACCCAGATGTCTGAGTTCTTCATCCAGAACAGGTTCAAGACTGCTGCCTGAGATGATCAAGACTCACAAGATACTTCAGTCAGGACTTGATCATAACTCTAAATTTTCTTTAGGTCCTCATAAGATTATCAGTGCCCCCAACGAGCAGGAAGTAGCCTGGAATACTACGCCCACATTCCCAAAAAATGGACTATGGATATTTTCCTTTTTTTTTTTTTTAAAAAAAAAAAAAAGAGGGGGAAGTGGTGCCGGAGAATTGTCTGTATTCTGTCAATCATGTTTTAAATAAACGCTGATTGGCCAGGCAGGAGGTGTAGGTGGGAAAACCAGACAGGAAGTGGAAATGATGCAAAGAGAGCAGGAGAATTCTGGGGAGGAGGAAGTTGATTTCTCCCACTCCTGCCCTGAGCACCGAAGCAGCAGGATGTGAGCTGCCCCCACTGAAAAAGGTACTGAGCCACATGGCTAACATAGATCAGAAAAATGGGTTAATCAAGATGTGAGAGTTAGCCAGTAAGAAGCTGGACCTAACGGGTCAATCAGCATTATAACTTATAGAAATCTCTTGTGTGATTTTACTTTGGTACTAAACAGCTGGGGGGCCAGACAGTACAAAAAACACAAACAAGCCGGCCCCCCTCATGTTACAATGAACTGGTTTATTTCAGGTTAGAATATGCTTGTTTATTTAGTCATCTTTAAATTTTAGACACACTGAAATATTTTTGATTGCTATTTATTTAGCAGTGCTTCCTTTCATTTTTCATTCCCCCATCCTGTTAGCATCTTCATCAAATCATTATTTGTCTAAAATATAATGTTACCAAGAACGGGGTCAATGTAAAGGAAGGGTGCAGTGAAACACTGGGAGAATCACTCTTTCCTAAAAGTTAACAGTTCGCTCATAATTCATCTCTCTAAGCTCAGCCTCTTCTCCTTCTCTTCCTCTTCTCGTTACTCCTCTACTTCCTTATCTCCCTCCTCTTCTTTTGGGGGATGGCTTTCATGTGACCCACATTTGTCTCAACTCACCATGTTGCTGATAATGACCTTGACCTCTTTGTCCTCTGACCTTCTCCTCTTTAGAGCTGGAATTACAGGCCTTGTGTCACTATGCTCTACCTATGGGTTCTGTGGATCAAACACAGGGTTGCATGCATGTGTTGCAAACACTCTGCCAGCTAAGCTACATCCCTGATTGATTCTTTTTAAACATGGGTCCATTACGGATCGCTATTGAGGGTGTCTGCCTCCTTTCTGTTTTAGAACCTGTGCATTTGATGCAACCCCTGGTATGCATCAGTGACTTCTGTTGTAGAGTTCTTAGGTCACTTTGACTCTAGAGTCTAGAACTTTTCTGGTTCCTATGTTTGGCATGAAACAAACCCCAGCTTCTGGGTTTAAGAACTTCTCTGTTTATATTCTAGACATCAGGAGAACAAATAAAATTGAAGCACGTGGTTCTGAGAAGCTACAGCCTTTGAGAACCAAGACAACCTTAGCTAAAAGGGACAAGGATAACAGAGTATGTATAAAATACATGTGCACAGAGTCAATTCTGTGTTTAAAAATATTTGAGAACTATTTAACAGAACAGTTCCACAACAGGCATATTTTAAATTCTAAATCCAGTGTGGGAGTCTACAAAATTAAACAAAGATTCACGTAAAAGTCTTATGTGGTAAAAAATTGAAAGGCAAATACTTGTCAAACTATTGCCTATTCTCAATACATATTACTCAAGCGAGAGGCTCCCCAGGTATTGCAAATAACTCAGTTCCTGTGTTCTGCAGTTCACATTGCCCAAAGTCTGAACATTTGGGGCATTTTATAAAATAGAAGTTGGTCATTCCATAGCATGCCTTGATACATGTAGGCTAAGACCTTATGTGTGCCCATTTTCAAACCTTTCTGGTAGCCTTGCTTTGATTCTGGTGTTAAGAGCTTTCAACACTTGATGCTTTCCTCTGCAATTTAAATATTCCAGGTGAAGAGGTAGAACAAGGTGCTGACCCCAGGGGACCATGCCAAGGAAGATCTGCAATGATGGGTTTCTACGATGTGTTGATGTAGCACAGGTTCTAGCTACTTCCGTATGTGCACCTTTGATCACTGAATTGTAAACTGACTTGGCAGTCAGTCTAGTCTAGACTGACGAGGAGTTTTGATTATTGTCCAAAGCAGAAGGCAAACTTCCAGTCGGGTTTACATGGAATTGACTCCTTCCTGGGAAAAGAGGCTCAACGATCTTTAAACCAAGCACTTTCTAAATTTATAGCCAGTTTTGTTTTTACTTAAAAATGAGATGTAGCGGCCGTTTCAGGACCACCAACAGAAGACAACCAAAGCTGGCTGCTGTTGGTGATGGCCATCCTCTGTTCTAGTATGTCATTCTTATGACAGGCTTAGCTAACAAGGGTAAGGACACAGGGTAAAGCTTACTGATTTGTTAGGTCAGCGAGGGTCTATTGAATATCCACTATGGAGCAGTAGTAGGAAATCAAGGGAAGCAAAAGAACACAACAAAGAATCCACAATTTCTTAGACTTACGGTCGAGAAAGAATGGTGGACAACCACAGTAAATACAAATATATAATGTATCATATAGTGATAAATGTGTGGAAAAAATCAAAGAAAAATTGTTTTCCTTTATTTTTAAAAGAATTTTTAGATAGAGTGTAAGAAAAAAAAAGGCTAACATTGAACATGGATAAGGAAAGATGAGAATGTCTAAGTAGAAGAGGGCTACAAAGCCCAAGAATAGAATGAGTGAAGGCCCTGCGGAATTGGGATTGTTTGTTTCCTTGGGAAAAAAAGAGTCAGTACAATTAGAATAGAAAAGTTTAAAAATATACAGGAACATAAGAACCAATCACGAGGGCAATACTCATATGTATGGATAAGAAAGAGTTTAGAATTTTGGTTTCAAAACACTGATAGGAAGAATTTATTTTTCTGACTGACTTACTGTATGCAAAGATATGTGTGTGTGTGTGTGTGTGTGTGTGTGTGTGTGTGTGTGCACTGAGAATTGAGCTCAGGGCCTAATGCCTTCTAAGGTAACACCCCACCACTGAGCTGTATTCTTAGGCTAACAAGGAAAATCATTTGAATAGAGAACTTACTAAGAAAAGGTTTTTTTTAAATTTTTTACAATTATTTCCAATTGTTGAATCTCTGTGAGTTTTTCATGTATTTCCCATTCTTTTTTTTAAAAAAACTGTAAATGAATTCTAAACTCTTGTGCTTCGTTTTGCAGTGGCAGCCTTCTGAATAGTATTATATTCATATTTTAATGGGACAAAGCATATTACATGAACTTAGCTTTTATAAACAGAACTTAACGCTTTCTTTTAGACCTACTTACAACATGGTATGGTGGCCTTTCTGAAAATATCACACTCTTATTTTTATTTATTATTTTATTTTGTTATTTACTTATATGTGTATGTGCATATACATGCAAAGGCCAGAAAAATGTGTTGGATCTCCTGGAGCTGAAGTTGCCGGTGGTTTGAACTGCAAGATATGGGTGCTGGGAATGGAAGCCAGGCCCTCTGGTAGGGCAGGAAGATTCTTGAATATTGAGTCATCTCTCCAGCCCCATCATGCACTTACCTTTTACTACAAACTTCATACACTTAAACGATAGTATTTTAAAAAGCCAGGATTTTTGCATATTTAAATGAAAAATTGCTGAATTAATGCATCTGCTTGCAAGGAATCATAAGAAAATTCCAGGGCCTTTCTTAGCTTTTGAAACAGGGTCAGGATACCTTGAACTCCAGCCTCTTTTTTCTGTCTCCTGAGACCGGAATTACAAGTGCATGCTGCACCAGAGAGCTAGGGTGGGTATCTACATGTATCTGCTGAAGGAGAGCTGACTTAACAGATTCATTCTGCATCTTAGCCTGAACATCAGTCACAGATTCTGTTATTAAAAACCAGTCCACAAAACATGTATTCCTGTAGTAAGAGTACTTCAAGGGATCCTTTGATAAACGCCAACAACCACGATACATCAGAAAAGCCGAGTGGCCTTCTTATATGACAAAAATGCATAAAAGTGAAATTAGCAACTCATTTGTTTAATATTTGGTTGTATGTTCAGCCTCAGCTAGACTGTGTCTGCTGAATCCCAGCAGATTGTTCTAGTCTTCTGCCTCAATCCTTCCATGCAGGAACCCCTTATCCAAGCACCGGAAGTCAGCGCTGGCGGCTTGCTCACCTTGGACTGCTTCAGGCGGAACTCCTTCTCCATCTGTAGTCTGTACTGGTCAGTCTCGGCCACGGCTTCTTCCTTAGCTTGCTTCAGTCGCCTCCCTTTCCCTGAGAATTTACAGCAGCAGAAGCAACGGATTTCTTTTTTACCAGTTACAGCAGTGCAAATGATTGAAAAACATTTCTTTTTTTTTTCTTTTGATACAAGATCTCACTGTGTAGTCCTAGCTGACCTAGGACTTGTCTTGTAGACCAGAATGGCCTCAGACTCACAAAGGTCTGCCTTCCTCTGCCACCTGAGTGTTGGGTTTACAGGTGTGCACCACCACCCCAGAAGCATTCAGCTCAGAGCTAGCACTGCTCTCGTAGGGCATCGCCCAGTTCCCATTTCTAGTGGCTCAGAACCGCCTGTAACTCTCTGGAACTGTGAGTGCACACATCGTGTGCACAGGCGAACACACATTAATGCATTGTAAAAGTGATAATAAAAATAAATACTTGGACTGGAGAGATAGCTTAACCATTAAAGGTAGCTCATTTATCTTCTAAAGAACACAAATCTGGCTCCAGCAAATGGCTTTTATTTTAAAGCACATTGGTGAATCCCCTCTCATTCATATATATATATATATATATATATATATATATATATTCCATATTCCATATTTATAAATTCCCCATATATATTTCTACTATGTCAAACTTCATTAAAATAATACTCAGTTTTTTCTTTTCTTTCCTTCAATCGGGTCCTTTAGAATAACAAGTAACAACTTTCTTTCACACTTAGATGTCACTTACACGTTAAAGTAAATTATCTACCCATAGACTCACAGTAGTAACAGCCAGGGAACGGCTTTCAGCTGCTGCCACTTACTCAAAAGAGACATTATTTAGTCCGATTTTTCTGTCCTGACTGGTTGCCAGGCATCTTTCAGTCCACACCAACTGGATTCTATTTCGTGTTGGCAGACCTCCAAGATCGCTGCAGACTGCAGCTCAGACTCTATCAAATGACTTTCAATTTTTAAGGCATTTTATTGGAAATTTTTTCTTTCCCATTTGCTACTCTAGAATGTCTGATTAAGCCCCACAACACATCAAAGTAGTTTTCCTTATAGTGGCTTTCTCTGAGACGGACTTGAAAGAGGCTGTAAAACCAATTGTTTTTAATGGTTGGGAGATTTAGCTAAGTACCCCCTTTTCTTTTTATTAAGAGTAAAGGTGTAAGCCATAAGCCACAAGACAAGGTAAGATGAAAGTCTTAAACAAACACAACAGTCCGAATCATTAGTCAAGCACAAGAGGTGCATTCTTTTGAGGACAGTCTGATCATAATGGTAGCAGCCTCCACTTTCTAGGGGAGAGGCATGAATGCTCTATAGCATTGAAACTTTAAAGATAAACTCTGAACTGTATTATTTTTCTCCTGCAATCGATTGCCATTCAGTGTCTTAAGATACTGTACTCTTGGCTTATTTGAACTGTGTTCTGATCAAGTCTCAAGTTTAGGCTACAAATTTTGTTAAGTGTTAAACTGTACAGCGTTTGAACTAGGTAAGCAATTCTCACCAAGTAGCAAGAAGAGATTTAAAGCATTTTTAATTATCATTCTTACTATTATTACTAGTGTGTATATGTGTGTGCATGTGTGTATGTAGGTGGGTATGACAGTGTGTGCTCATGCCAAGACATGTGTGGGCGTCAGAAGACCACTCACTCTGCAGAGTGGGCTCTTTCCTTACATCTTTCTGTGGGATCAAACTCAAATCCAGTCCTCCATGTAAGAGCCTTTACCTCTTGATTCGCCTCATTGGAATAACAAGCAGAAAATGTCTTGATATAAACATTTATCTGACACCTGTATCTTTGGAGCGTTTGTGCCAGGTGCAGATTGCTTCTAAATTTCTCTCCTGGCTGGGGACGAGTTGTTTCAGTAGTCACTGAAAATGTGTTTAGGATAAAGACAGATTCACTTGGGTGGAACTAGGTAACACTTGTTCAGAATAGATAATTAGCTTTATATTCGCTTTCTTTAGAGCCAAAGTTCTGATGGAATCTACCACTGTCATGATGCTTTAAGGCTTAATGAAACACCAACAGCAAGGCTTTCCTTCTGCCTGTGTACTTAATGCTTGCTGCCAACTGTATACTCTGATGCTTCAGGACATTATGGCTCTATGTATTTAATGGCAGTAAGCACACCCTATTCACAGAGATTCTCTTGTCACATCTTGTCATTAGCATCAAGACAAAAACACAAAATACCTTGGTATTTTCTTAGTGATAATGACTTGTATACATAATTACCTCACAAAATGAATGGGGCAAACATCCCTTTTCTCTATCTTAATCTCATAAAAAAGCAACTGATTTCAAAGTTATGACTCTAGTACATGTTTTTTTTTTTTTTTAAAAAAATATGTAACAAAAGGAAAAGCTCTGTGTGCCCTACCCCCGAGCAGAATCCAGCACTGCCCTAAGAGGCTCCACCACGCAGTGACAAGCTTGGAGCCTGTCTGTGATTCCTCTGTCATGGCACCGGTCACCTGCTGGTTCTCATTCAATTACAGAGGAGAGTCACGGGAAATCACTGCTGGCGCAGCAATTTTCTGGATAGACTCAGCAGCTGCCACTGTGTGAGAGCCTGCACACGCTAGACCTGATTTAACCCAGTGGAAGAAATGGAAGCCCAAAGCCGATGGTTTCGTTAGAGGTGAAGCGAAATGCACGCATCAAATCCCCTCATATGAACTTCTGGCTCACTTCTCTCTGTGCACGGGAAGAATGCCAAAATCTGAAAATATACCGATTTCTTAAGCATTAAAACAAAGTTACTACCAACCAAAAGAAGTTCCTATTGGTTTTTATTCCCAATATATTCTGTGTCAACCATAGGGGTGACTACATGGAATAATCTGGATTTTTATATAACAGTTCATTTTATGCCCTCATAATACTTATAAGGATATGTGGACTTATAAAGCCAAGAGTTCTGGTTTTGGGTTTAGAAAATGTATTCTCTGTATTCATCATGATTTTAAATAATATTTAAAAGGATGCTGCAGAGTAGTTCCAGAAGGGATGGGTTTCCTTTAGTCTCCCATTATTTGTTCAGGGATTCCTGACTACCTCCTCTATAAATAGGCAGAAAGCCAGACACAGAGAAAGAACAAGTGCATATCACATGTAGTTCTTGCCTGGAAAAGGTGGTATTAATTTAAGATAGCTTGAAAATATGTACATCCTGCCCCAGCTTCCAAGAAGAGCATTCTTAAATAATATACAAAATCCTACTAGGAAAATAATAACACATAAACACTATTTTTATCTGCTCTGCAATCATTGAAAAATCAGATTTATAGAGAGAAACTTCTAACCTTAAGCCTATGGAATATAGGAACTTATCCCCAACCTCACTCCATCATCCTGTATCTTTAAGCTCACCTGATAAGTCAGGGGTCTAAAAAGACAGCTCCATCATGGGCTACAAGAAGATTGTTGGGAGAGCTTCAGAATAACTGTGCAGAGACCCTGGACAGCTGTAAGGATGGACAGGCAATTGGGAATTGGAAATATGGGAGTTGGAAAAGAACAAAAGGGCAGTTCAAAGATAATTTGAGAAACATTGTAAATAACATCACCTGAATAAAGTCAGTCAATTTTACATGTATGACCTGTTGTGCAGACAAACCTGGTCTGCTTCTAATCAATCATTACTTAGAGGTCATCTGTAATGTTCTTTTCTGAAGAAGAAAAGGGAGGTAGAAGCATTTGGTGTGATCTTCCAATGTTTGGGGAAAAGAACAAACAAAAATTAACCTGGGCAAGCTAAAAGTAGTTTTGGGTAGGAGATGGAAGGCAATGCTCAGAGGCAGACTCCTTAGTGGCAGGCCTAGGGCAGGCCAAGGGACTGTGTGTCCTAAGAGTCAAATAAGAACTGAAGGCTCTAAGCCAGTTCTCTGTTGCTTGGACTCTTATTTTCTGTAAGAGGAAAATGGGGTTTCTGAGTCTCTGTTCTCATCCATACTGAAGTAATCATCTACTACATAGAGCCATCTTGGATGTTAGCAAATAATATTAAGGAAATGCTAAGCAAAAAGCAGCAGTTTAATGGTTCTGACCACTTTTAGTAAGACACACTGACTTGAGGACAGGTCCCAGGATGTCACAGGGAGCCTTCTGAAGGTGTCCCTGGGGATACCCAAGGACTGATAACCAGAATACAGTTGGACAGCTAAGTCTGCATCTCTGGAGGATAGATTAGAAGGGAAGAAGATTTGCATGTCAGTCATACTGGTGTTCGTATGTGCTAATTGTGGCAATGATGTTTGGGCCGAAATCAAAGGAGAGAATGTGGGGTGAAACGAGGGTTATGGTTTTTGTTTGTTTGTTTTTTTGGTTGGTTGGTTGGTTGGTTGGTTCGTGTTTTGAGGCAGGGTTTCTCTGTGTAGTTTTGGTGTCTGTCCTGTTGCTTTTGTAGACCAGGCTGACTTCAGACTCACAGAGATCTACCTGCCTCTGCCTCCTGGGTGCTGGGATTAAAGGTGTGCACCACCACCTCCTGGCTAGGGCTATGGTTTTAAGGTGGGGAAATACCAACATTCAATCTTCAAAACATGGCATATGGTAGATAGTAAGGAAACTGAAAAGAGAGAGAAAGGTAGGACTAACAGTGTACACACTGTAGGGAATTGAAGGGGGCCACCTGGTTCAATCAGTGTTGCTGAATATCTAGGGTGTCCATGCATTAGTCTAGATCTTTAGGTAAAGCAGTGGTAGGTCACAAACTTTGTTGTCAGTCTGTATTCTAAAGGCAATCCAGGGGACAGAGAGTAGGCAATATGTACATAACGTGAAAGTGCTACTGAGCACATGAAGAATAAAGGAACCTAAGGGTAGAGAGAAATTGTGACAGGTCGCGGTTAATATAGATGAGGTTTTGTGGATGAAATGGCAAGTGAGCATAGGAATAAGACAAATGGTCCTACAGTTACCTGAAGGAAAAGTCTCATCCTTGTAGAAGGGACAGCAGCACAATGGGTCCTGAGGTAGGAAGTATGGTGTGCTAAGGAAGAGTTATTCCTCCTAGAAAATCATTTGTGGTT